AAAACAGGATGCCACAAACGTGCACATATGTAGACTGCAAGGAATGAGGCACCTCAAGAATTTGATGAAGATAAATACAGGGTGGACATATGTAAAATGAATTGAAAGAGTACCTACCTCGAGAATTTGATGAAAACGCGAAATGTCATCAGGACCCATTCCTGGAGGGCAGCTGATGTAGAAATAAGGTTCAAACCCATGTACGTGACAGCAAACACTATGTCCTGGCCAACAACCGAGACAGCTTGCTTAATACTTGTATGATAACTTTCAATGCAAAAAATGAAGAAAATAAATAAACACAAATAAATAGGACTACTGCTTATAACTACTTTATATGTACCAATTTATTAACCTTTATAATTATGCGAACATGAATAAGCATAATCTGCATTTTCTTCATTACCATCAAACACTAAATTCACAAGCGCAACATCCTAATTCCAGTATATTCATATTTATCAAAACATAGCAACATCTAACACGAAGCATAAACTTGAAAGACTGAATTAACAAAAGTTAACTTCCAAACCTATCCAATCCATAAAGGAGCCCTATTTCGATTTTCAGTTGCACAAATTCTAGTTCAAAAAATATCACTGAACAATTTATTGATGTCTTGAAGTACCACTTTTTGTGGCCACAGATGTGAAGAGAAAAGATCATCAGTTTTTCCTTATGTGTGGAAATAGCTTACTTATTGGGACAATAAGCCATATGTGTGTATAGAAAGAGAGAGAGAAACTGTTAAACTTTGTTAAACTTTCCAAAGACACAACCAAGCATGAAATTTACCAAAAACTAACTACAAAACTTATGCAGAATCAGTTGGTCAATTTCAATCCCGTTTAACTAATTGAAACAGAACCCAACAGACCAAACAACTCAACCCCCCCCCAAAAAAAAGACATACTAGAATGGTACTACTCCAGCTCAGCAGTTAAAGAAAAACACTAACTATTTTAATTACAATGCTATTACTCATATTTTCTGTAAGAACTTCAATAGACCACAAATTCAGCTCCATATGGTCAGTACCAGACCCATATTAGTCCAAAATAAATGTAGAAATACTCGAATACAAACGCACCTTCTTTGGTGACACCAAAGATTCTCAAAATAGGAGCAACACCAGAAGACTTAGGCAGCAATTCTTTATGACTCTCGCCAATCACATAGTCAATTTCCAGCTGTTGAAATACTACTCAAAGAAAAAAAACAAAATTAACCACAAGTTTCAAAGAACCATTAAATTTCACATTTTTAACAAACCCTAAACTTCAGCATTATAATCCATATTAGGCTAAAATACAGCAATGGCAACTTCAGTAATAACTAAGTCAAAATGGTAATTAAACAACATACCGATGCTCTGAGACTGTGAGGTGTAAAGTTGAGAAAGCGGAGGCCGCTTCCATTTTTGCAGCCGCTCCTCGGCTTCACGCAGGGCTTGGGTGTCTTCTTTGTTCAGGGGAAGTGGGGTTTCGTCGAGGTAATAGTTGTCCTCGTCTCCCTCGTCGTCTTCCATCGCAGCATGGTGCTTCTGCTGCGGATGTTGCGAAGACGCCGGCGGCGGAGGCCGTTTTCTGCTGTTGCCGGTGTTGCTCATATCGCCGGAGTTAGGAGAAGCCAACGGGGGAGGAGAGAGAGGGTTTTGGTGGAGCGTGGGAAGTCGGGTTCCCGCCAAATTGTTGTAGTTGGGTTTTTTAAGGGTTTAATTTCACGGGATTATTGGACGGTAAAAACAAATCAGAACGGATCCCTGAAATTGGATTCGGATCTGGACCGGTTGTCCAACCGGGAGGACCAGACAGATACAGTTGGTTTATATTCAATTAGGTACGGTTGGTTAAGTATAACATCGGTTGTAAACGAATCAGACTGCATACGAATCGATTCAATCAAAGTTTGACTCGAGTTTGGTCAATTATCATGATTCCAAATATATTGGATAATTCATATCTTTAGTTGTTAATATTATAGTTTAGTGGAGTTTGAATTGGTTAGCAAGGATAAACATGTATTTATACTCGTAAATTTTTGAAAGCTATTGAGTAATATTAGAATTTCAAATCAATTTCTCTCTGGCGACGCCAAAATTTCAGAGCAACTCAAGATTTTCCAAGATATTCCCGAACAACACTTAACCCTCATGACTTTTAACAGTTCAAGGGACTTTTATGGAACAATCGAGAGTTTACTCTTTCATAAGAATCATTGCCTGTGTAAAGAGAATAAGAATGAGTTTAGCCTATCATGATTTCTTAGTAAAATTCTGATATTCAAACTTTTCTGTCTTTCTTTCATTTCATTCGAGGATTTATACATCAGAAAGATAGCTCTTTTTAATAGTAGAACGACTCTTTGGAATATTAATGAGATTTCAAACAACCAAGCGACTCTTTAAATAGTAAAACAACTATTCTGAATATTAAAATACAAACGACTTTTCAAACAACCAAATAACTTTTCAAGCAGTAAAATGACTCTTCGGAATATTAAAATACAAACGACTTTACTGTGGGATCCATTGAATCTTCTTTCAGACATGAGTAGGATAGTAGATATCCTCATATGGTGTGTCTGATGGAGTGCTATCAGGATCAGTAATGTTGTACATCTCAATGTGATCCATGTGTCTTCTTTTATTCTGTCTTTTGTTGAGATATCTTTGCTTTGTTGTCCTTCCTTTGAATTTTGATGATTGTGCAGAAGAACTTGCTCCTTGGTCATACGGATCTTGTGAGTCTTGCATAGCACTATCATTTATCATTTTCAGATAATTTTTCTTGGCTTTTTGAATTGTATTCCAATGGGGATGAATGGTACGATAATTCCAAGGACCATAATGTCCTATCCAAATTTCTTGTGGAATGGATTGGTTTTGTTGGAATATGTACCTTTAGGCTTCTTCATGCTCTTCATCAAGGTCTAAAATAGTATGAAAAAATTCCTATAGATAACTGCGCTTGAAAGAGTTTGGAGGAGAAATAGCATTAAAATAAAATGAAGTTGATTTCCGAAGAGGTTAGGAGATAATGATTTTGTCTGTAAATATCAAATCCAAGAATGATATCTTTCCCTGTGAAATTTGATAATGGGGTTTTTGATGATAATGGGGTTTTTGTCGCAAACCTTGTTTGGAAAATTTCCCCATCAGCCGCTTTGAAATCATGGATTTATTTAATCCAATATGAATCAGGTAAAATATCCTTTTTTAGAATGGATATGGTAGCACTTGAATCAAAGAAAGCAATGACTGGAATAGGTTTAGAGTACTTATCCATTAAAATATGAACTAATGTTTGGGGATAAGTATCTGTCGATTTTAGAGGTTTGATGGAAAAAATTTCTTCTGGTACCTACAATGCTAAAAGAGTACTATCAGTAACATCTTGTTCAGAAAAATCAAATTCTAAACTAGAAAAATGTTTGAAATTCATCCTGAATTTCTGAAATTAATTTTACTTCCTTTTGATTTTGAGGACAATATTTTGCAAAATGTCCTGATATTCCACAAATGAAACATTTGCTTCCTTTCTTGCCTTTAAACTTTTTTTCTTTCCTTTAGAAGTATTCCACCTTTTCCTGAAAGATCTTCTTGGGTGACTTTTGTTAAAACCTTTGAACCTTTTGAACTTTTTCTTTCTTCTATAGCTTGAAGGACTGCAAGCTTGGCATTTTCCTTTTGTTATCAGCTCGGATTTTTTTACAGGCTTGGTCTAAACAGACATCTCCCTTGAGATATTTTTGAATAATTTTTCGTTTGTTCCACAAATTATTCAAGGAAAGAAAGACTACTTGTTTGATCTGACCTGTAGGAAAATTTAAATGGAACCATATTTATTATGTATATACATTTCAATACCATCAGCAAGAGATTTAGGTAGAGAACTTATAAATGCTTGTTTCAAGTTAAGATCAACACCTAGATAAAAAACAATTGAATCATTTTTTTGAAATATTTATTAAGATCTTTTCGATCATAAGAAAGACATTTCATTTGAAAAAATTCTTTTCTTTTTGTTCCTTTACTCTCTTTTACATCTCCAATGAACATGAGGAGCAAGATATTAATATTTTCAAAAAATTCTTGTCTAGTTAGGAAAAACATTTTATCTTGTTCTCCTAAACTTGCCTACCAGTCTTTGAGGATTCCTAAAAATTGAGCAGTGAAGTCAGATAAAATTTCAAAATGAGATTCTTCAGTAATATTTTGGATAATCATCTAAGCACGAAAATTCTGAAATTTTTCTTCCCACTTTGATGAAGGTACATCATCAATTGTAAAGATCTGAGTTCCTTTCATTTTTATGATGTTTTCTTCTAACTACTGGACGTTTAACCAATTTCTTCCTCTTCATCAGGATGAAGAACTTTGACTTTGTTGCCATATTCAGTTCGGGGTTTTGAGATTTCATCAAAATTTTCTTCTCCAGTAAATTCTTCAATAGAATCTTCAAGGCTTGAATTTTCTTCAATACTTTCAGTACTTTCTCCCTTGGTTGATTCTGAGTCTGAATCTTTATCCTTTCTTCTTAACTTTTCTCATATTTCTCTCTTAGTTTTCAATTTTGTTCTTAGGAATTATCCCGAATTACAGAGCATTCAAACCTACACGATTTTGGTGTCCACGGCAAAAGGTTTGCAATTTACAATAATAGAAGAAACTGAGATCCTACCAGTAGAAACAGATGCGAAGGAGGAGGCCATATATGAACTTCTAGAGTAGCACTTCAAGAATCAAGATCTACAATTGCAAAAACTAATGTGCAGTTGCCAGGAATTCCACCAAAACCTTAGTGAAGATCTTCATACAAGTTTTCAAGAAAACAATAAGAAATTAGATACCTTAATAGAAAGATTAGACCAAAAGTTTGATCTGTTGATTCAAGCCTTCAATGGTGGAAAAAGGGTTCTAATGGAAGAATGCTTTGACAGCGATCAAAGATTTGTTGTGGAGGAACAACACTTGTTTGATTTGCTAATAATTGGGGTTTTCTTTAATAGCTTGGAAATTATTGCTTCAGTGTTGACTATTCAAGTTTAATCTTCGTCCTTTCTGTCATACCACTAGAAAGTTGGACTTGTTCGCTTCCTACATTAGGCACTTTAGGTATCAGATTTAACTTTCTGTGATCAGAGTCCAAGTAATGTTGGTTAACAGATTAGTTTGGAAATCTCAAGGGCGTTATAAAAGAAAGGGCAAGCAAGCGAGAAACTTCCATAAAGATAAATTTATTAAACTTCTTGGTGCTTTAAGATTTTAAGTGGATTAATGATGTAAGATTACTTTGAAGTTTATGGTTCCTATACTTGGGAATGTTATCAGATGAGGCAAATTTTTCTACAATTAATCATCTTAAACACTCTTTTCTTGTTTGTTTCTCTTTAGTTATCCATGATTCAGGAGGAGCACTGTAGGGTGTGTTGACAAATGATCCATGGTCTTTTTTTTTTTTTTAATGTCACCTTGTAGATAATCTAAACATGTGGAAGGTTTTGTTATTAATTCATCTATATGATCAAAATTCATGTGCCTCTTTGGTGATGTCACTTTTATTCGTGGCATAGGTGCATCAAAGGGCTGGCTTTGGTCCAAAGGAATGGTGAAGTATTCTGGACATACACTAATTTCTTCTCTTACTCCTTTTTGTTGTGTCCTGAAAAACCATGGCAGATTGTCATCAAGTCTGTTTTATGGAAGTTCAACAAAGTCAAGGGTGTACCATTACTGTAAGAGGAGCCACTTACATACTGAAACTATAATGGTTTCTCTGCGTTATCACCCTTCTTGGTTCAGGTGACTCCTTGATATTCTGATCAGTTTATTTGACTGTAGCATGACTTTGTTATTTTCCTCAGCATGACTTGTCTTTTGTTTAGTGTCTTCTTGTCAAGAAATTTCTTCGCCTTGCTAATAGAGGTTGAATTTTCAGTGTGGCACCAATGATGGATTGGACAGATAATCACTTTAGGACTTTAGCACGGCTCATCTCAAAACATGCATGGTTATACACAGAAATGATTGCTGCAGAGACAATTGTCTTTCAGAAAGGAGATTTGGTAAGTCTTCAGGAGATTTTCTTCTTGATGAGCAATGGGTGGAAAAAAAGGTAACCAGAATGTCATCACATGGAGATGTAGAAAAAAGAAAAAAATCTTACCGTCAAGCATTCTGATCATTGAAACTGGGGAGATATGATTGTGTGTAATATTCATGTTTGCTACTGTTATGCTGGTGATTATCTTAGAAATTTTTTGGTTCCTGAGGCATAGGCAGATTTATGATTAAATTATCTCAGAATCTTCATTTCTTTTGTACCTCGTGCCAGATATAATGTTCTTTTGTATCTTTTGTGATCAACTGTCTATGCATATAAAATACTGTATAATATTTTTTTTCCAGAACCAGCACTTCAGTTTCAATCTGTAAATGCAGTTTAAGTGGAAAAAGAGGTCTATTGTGCCAAATTAGCATTTGGCGAGTCTAGTAAGGAATTTCCAGAGACATCTCATACTGACTATTTTTCTGGGATTTTCAGAACCGATTCTTGGCATATGGTCCAGAGCAACATCCAATAGTACTTCAGATTGGGGGAAGTAATTTGGATAACCTCGCAAAAGCAACTCAACTTGCAGATCCCTATGGCTACGATGAAATCAATTTCAAGTTTGTTTTTTTTGTCTTGTATGCAGAAGCTCTTGATTTTTGCTGCCTTTTGAATTTGAACTAAACCACTTCTATTCAACAGTTGTGGTTGTCCTAGCCCAAGGGTAGCTGGACATGGCTGTTTTGGCGTGCGTCTTATGCTGGATCCAAAGGTCTTTTACTGGTTGATTAAATATAAGTTAGTTTTGTTCATGTGAATATGGTCTGAAGAGACAAATTTGTTTTTACAAGGGAAGTTTGTTGCTGAGGCCATGTCAGTTATAGCTGCAAACACTGATGTACCTGTGAGTGTCAAATGCCGAATCGGTGTTGATGACCATGACTCATATTATGAGCTCTGTAAGTTGACTTAAGCAAAAGATTTTTGCAGTTCACATGCTGAAATTAATTATAAAAAGTCTCACTTCTTAGAAATGAGGACACATCTTTTGTTATAAGAAATGTTGGCTTTCTTAAAATCGTTGGACCAAAGTTTGGATCACTCAATCTCCTCACTATACTGTTAATTGTTGTTTAATCATTTCTGTTTCTATATAATTTTCTTAGTTTTTGTTTTTTTTTTTTGGGATGGATTGTATTGTTTAAGAACCAGTAAGGATGATTTTATACTCTTTATCCAGTGTTGCTCTCTTCATTGCCACTGTAAACCATCACCGAATACATATTCTATCTGATTACGGGATGTAAATGGATTTCTAAGATACTCTCACTTTCTCAAGTAACATAGTGTTCATCAATCTTTGGTATGGTTTAAGCTTAATACCATTTAAAGCCTCTCCAAGCTAACGCCTTATTATAATAGTGGTACTCAACTGGATCAGATAAGGCTTTGGTTTTTTAAATTAAGGAGGTTTGAGGAGGAAGACCTTCCAAAATTTTTCAACATTTGCTTTTTAAGTCTAGTTTCATAAATACAAACTTTTTTCTGCTTTTCTTGCATTGCTAGTTCCCATAGACTTGCATGCTCACTCTTGCTTGAAGGTTTCATATACTTGATCTGTGTCGGAAGGATAAATTTTAGTGTATTGTGTCTATGTCGCATGGAACTGTTTTGCATGATTCCCTTGCAATTTCTATTGTCTTTGGGTTTATAATTGTTACTTTTGGTATCATTAATGCAATAAATCATAAACTTCGAGAGAGAAGACATAACTTTCAATCAACATAAGAGTAGATTGGTGTTGACTTGAGCAAATTGACCCTTCTACAATCTAGGGGTCAGAGGAGGAGTGGTCATTAAAATTTTCTGTTTCATTTGATTGAAAGTCACAACTATGAAATGGCTTCCATTATGCTGAAACCTTTTTTTTTGTCACTCATTTATGTAATATAATGCATGATGGAGCTTACAAGTAACTATAACTTCCCAAATAGAGACCTGTTTGACTTTTTCCCTGTTAATCTTTCATTTTTTCCAATTAGTGCTGTTACTTTTGTAAAATTTTACAAAGTTTGCATTAAAACAAGAAGTTTCGAATCAAGCCCTTTCATGTAGGAATTTCATCTAAAAAACTTATGAAAGGGAAGTGTGCAACAGCATTACCCAAAATCTGAAAGTATAAAAAAGCAATCCATCAGGTCTCAGGTTTGGAGTCTCGTTGTGTTTGGTCTGGAAGGCCAGCTAGTGCGTGGGGCTAGGTTTGGGAAAAGCTTGGTATGTGTGTGCATGTGTGTGCTTACCAAAGAGTGTTTGCTAAATGCTCTGTTTTGTTTTGTGTGTTTGCAAAATCTTGGTAGGAATGTGCGTGGATTTCTCCTGATCTATTTCACTTTTCTCATTTTTGAAGGTGATTTCATATACAAGGTTTCATCGCAATCACCTACTAGGCATTTCATTATACACTCCCGAAAAGCATTACTTAATGGACTCACCCCAGCTGAAAATAGGAAAATTCCTCCCCTGAAGTATGTATTTAACGAGTATTAATTTGTTTCTCTAGCTTAACTTTCTGTTGAAGACATGTTCTACTATTACTAAGCAATTAAAATCAGCTTTTATGGTACCCTTTGATCATTGTAGTTAACTGTCAATGTCCTTTCTTTTTACACTTGCTGGTGTTGCAGATACGAATACTATTATGCTTTGTTGCGTGATTTTCCCGATCTACAGTTTACAATAAATGGAGGTATACAAACCATAGATGAAGTAAGTTTGAAGTATTATCTAATTGTATGCATTGGTGATGATAAGATTAAAATTTGTTTGGGTTGTGTTTTTGCAAATTCAATTGATTATGCTCTGGTTTGCAGTCATTTGGAAAGTTTCCAAGATGGAAACTTTTCAAAATATCCTCTCCATCTACCTTCTTGTCACACAAAGACAGTATTAAAAAATGTAATGCTAAGGGAGGAATCATGGGTATGAATTGATTGTGTATGCGTACTAGATGACTAAGGACACAGGAAATGAGCAGTGTTAACAAAAATACTCAAATGAACGATTTGGGGACTGATGGATATTCAGAACTGGTTTTTAGGGACTTTGGATGGCTCTAATGGTGAGCTCAAGGAAAAGTGCTTGGATGTTGCTCAGAATAGGAAGAGGACTCTGCTTTAAGCATCACTACAAACTGACATGACCGTTAACGTCCTTTTTTTTTTATGTTTCCTGAAAACGTTTTTGCTCATACGAGGGCTACTGGAGGGAAAGGGGGACTCGACCCTGTCCCTACTAGCTTGGCATTATTGTAAGATATATGGTTTATGGTTTAGCTGGAATTGCTCTATCAATTCAAAAGTAGAAAAAACTTGCTGGAGATACTTGAAATCTAATGAGTTTAGTATAGAAGTCTGCATGGCCAGAGGCAAGGCATGTCAAAATGAAAGGTCAAAAGTAGCACGGTTGACCAAGAGTTACATGTGATGTGGGAGGTAGATTTGATAGGATTTTTGGTATCTTTAATAGGGAGGTTAGGAAATACTGGAATACTTGAAATGGTCATGGGGAAATGGTTAAAATGAGCAGGAAGGCTGACTTATGACTCTGGAGGTTTTGGATTAGATTTGCCCATTTGATTTGTCTGTACCATTATCTAAAGTAGATGATGCATTCCATGGAAATAGCATTTTTAAATAAAATTAGTCTTCGTTTTACTTTTCTTTTTGAAGATTGGTGGATCTGTTGTTCACAAAGCTTTTTCTTAGATTGGCGGGTCCCCCATACTGGGTATGGTTGCCAATAAACAGCAAAGAGCAACTGTTTATATCAAAACCACAGTACTCCTCTTCATCTGGGCATAAGCGATGGTCCAAATCCTTGAGAGATTGTTTCCAGGGCATCTCTGTTTGGAATGGATCTCAATTGGCATTCTACACTAAACTGATGCAAGGAAGACAGGATTCAAATTTTCCAACTGTTAGAATAAAAATTTGGTACTGGAGGGTTTTTTTTTTTATTATTTTAAATAATCATTATAGTTTGGGCAGATAGATTAATGTATGTTCTGAGAGAGTTGGACATACTCACAACTTATTCTTGCTTAAAAGCTAGTGAAGATAGTCAGATTGTGACACGTGTTCACCAGGTGCCAATTACACTGGCAGGGTTAGAGATGGGTGATACGACTTCCACTACAGATTGTATACAAAAAATAATTACCAAAGTATTTAGCCAGCTCAATTCCTTGTCTGCTCTCAACTTTTGTATTTACATTACTTCGGATAAAATTAGCAGACTCGATACAGTGAATCCATTTTTTAGGAAGCCTTGTTCAAATCATTATGGAAATGTAACTTCGCCCACTTTCAAGTCCATTTAACTGTCTTAGAAAGTTTAGCAAGTTTTGTCGCTATTATCCATATCTACCTCCTAGGACACCCACATTAATATTGGGGAACTTTTTGGTTACAGAAAATGCATGACCAAATGTGGATATTATAAGATCAGATGAATATTAGAAAAGAAGGGGAAGTTGAGTCCCAAATTAATACTGTGATTTGGCAAGATGATAACATGGAGCTGATCTAGAATATCATTTGCAAGTCTGTTTTGTTTGTTTTAAGCTGGCTTTATGCCTGGGTTAAGGTAGTGACTTTGTTCAAAACGTTTGGCTCATAGTTTCTGCATTTGGAATTGCATCTTGAGGCTTTTGTAGCCTAGGCTAACTGTAAAGTGAGCTAATGACAACCATGTGCTGTCATATCTTGGTCTCCAACTTTTATAGTGAGATTAAGTATTCTAGTCTCCAAATCTATTTGACCCAAAAAACTGTGCCATCCAAGCACTTTTAGGCAGCTTATGAAACGAAGAATATTCTTTGGAAATGAACTCCCGCTTGTTTAGGTTTGAAGCCTATGTTCTGTTCTATCTTTGATCAGATTTCTTCTTCTCTGCACTCTTATCTATTTCTGTGTCTGTGTTTCTGCACACACACAGAGTGACCTGACAGTCATCTAATAATATCTCTATCCAACCAATCTTGCTATTCCCAATCACTACAATTAAGCTTAAAACTCTTATTCTACCAACATAAAATTTCCATAAAGGTGTATATGCTCAAATACACTAAATTAGCTACTGAGCTAGCATAGTTCGGGTGTTGAAGTTATCGATCCCAGATAGTAGTATATGGATAAATGTCACCGTTGCCATACACAAAAAAGGTGCCTTTAGCTCGTTTTTATTGTTTAGCAAATGTTTGATACTCTTAAAGAATCTGGAGTTACTAGTATTTTGTGTTTATTCTGTCTTTGCAAATGATAGATTATGAAGTCATGGTTCATGGAAATTTCATTGAGGCCACATCAGGTGATTTGGTAAAATATGATAGCAATGAAACAAATAACATTGACAACAATCGACTAGAACTTAACAGCCTTTTCATTACGAATGGTGACGATATACTTCTATTGAAATTTTGCCTAGGTAAATGCAGCAAGAACAGAAGGTGCTCATGGTGTTATGCTTGGACGTGCAGCCTATAGCAAGTATGAAGAAGCCATTTCCCATATGCTTCCTATCTATGAAATATGGATGCGTTGTTTTTGGTTGATGATAGCACTTGATGAACTCTTGTGGACTTTGTTTCTTCAATCTAGTCATTCAAAGCTTCAGTTTTGCATTTTAAGTATAATCTTTTACTTATGTGACTTGTGTTGCATGTGTCATTAGAATTCTCGATGAAGATATTGAGAGACTCTTATAGATCTGGGTACTACATTTAATATGCATGTGGTTTGTGTCTCTACTTTTGTTTTCCACTTTGCTTGTAAAAAGGGGGTGGATATCAAGAAATGGTTACCTTTTGTTTAGGTATCAAATGGCCCATGCCAGATCTCGAATTTTAAATGACAATTGTTGGTCACTTTTCACTGCATAATTCTGGACCATGAATTAAAGAAAAAGAGTTGATGAAGTATTACCTAATGAGAATTTTTTTTGACATCTTTCATTTATTTGCACTTGATATTGTGGTGTGGCCAATTAGTAGATTTTCTAATTTTCACCTGTCAATAGCAGTGACAAATCACATAGGGCTATCTGCATTATATATTTTATCATGATTCTCAACTTTTGGAAATGATCTTACCTCTTTTTGAGCCATTCTCTGTCTCTTGCCTGGTTGGCTAAAAACCAAGTTTAAATCTCTCTCTCTCTCTCTCTCTCTCTCTCTCTCTCTCTCTCTCTGTTGCCTGGTTGACTAAATAAAAAGTTTAATTTTTGCAGTCCATGGCAAACATTGGGACATGTAGACAGTTTAGTATATGGTGCACCTCGAAGTGATCTAACCAGGCGTCAGGTTCTATAGTTGGATTATGCATCATATTTTGCCATTGACTGTGTTTCTAAGTTGTCCATATATTTTTGTTCTAGGTCCTTGAGCAGTACCAGATATATGGTGATTCAGTCCTTGGCAAATATGGGCAAAAACCAAATGTTCGGGATGTTGTTAAGGTATGAAGTCTACTCATGTTTCATCCAATTAATGTTTTCAACATCGGGGTTCTTGCGTTCCGTTTTCTTTTACGAGACAGGTTATAATACGTGCAAAATTGTTGACATTTTATTGTTCTCTGAACTTTCTCTGCTTTTGCTTATCATCACATTCCTCTTCTAATGCGGATAGGATGTTGCATATGGTCATTTCTTGCTTGCACTTTACACTCATAGCACAAATCGCAGCCTCCAGCAAGTGGGGCCCAAACTAACTGTCCCCAAATGGACTTTTGCCATATCTGGTTGTTTTGTTCATATATCACAGAAACCGCTTAATCAAAAGTATCTCTTTATGCACTTCATTCAATTTCCACAATGTATCAGTTTCCCCATCATTTAAGAACAGATTTTGAGTTGGTGGCTCTGCCGTGATTCTATAGAACAGCTGCTGCAAAAGACGATGTCCAAGTTGCCACATGCTTTGGATTTGAAACATTAGAATTTGGTCTTATGCTCTTGGCCAATGACATATGCAACAGGTTTTTAGTTTTTTACTACATGCATAATATGTTAACAACTCCTTGAAGGCAATTGTTCAAGTTGTCTCTGATAGAGTGATAGAATGTCGTTATGGTCCATAATGGTTAATGTGAACCAATTGGGGTCTTTATTGTTTAGAAATTGTATAAAGAGGATTCCTGCTCTGGTGTCAATCACTTTTCTGGCTGTAAATAGCATAATTGATTACCTGCCTGTTTAGGGGCAAAATCAGGGACTAATGCATATTTCCCTGCAATAGATGTGATGTGTGCAAAGCATGTTCTTCTATCCTGCACAGTTAAAGGGACAAAAATCTGAAAGTTAGGTCATCATATTGATTAATTTCGCATGTCATGCATATTAGCTGGATTTTTTTCCAGCTAAGAAGTGAAAGGCTGTGGGCCTACAGACTGTAAGGTGCATCTGTTAAAAGTATAGGTAGGATTTGCTTCATTTTAAATTTGTGGACTAAAATTAGATTTTGAGAATTTATTGTGACCAGTTTTGCAGTTTTCTTGGTAGATGAGCTTCAAATGGCTGGTTATGGGTGTTATCATTGGTATTGCATTATAGCTGGCAAAGAAAGTCAAATGGGCTTGTTCTCTTTGTCTTGCAATTTTGAGACTTTGGAAGTCTGTGTGTGTGATATGTCATGTTCTGTTATGATTGGCTCAAATGGGTTTCACATGCTTTCCATCCCTTTGCATATGTTGTACTTGTTGGGATCTCCTGATTTAATTGTAGTTGCTAATTTGGTCAGAGATATATTATCTATTTCTATCTTGTTCTCCTCTTACCTAAATAAAAGTCAATTTAGCTTAGTGCTCTATGCCACAAGCTGTCAAAGCATTTCAATTGTGTGGAAGACACTTAAAATGCACGAGGGTCTGCATAAATGAGATTTTCTTGTACATATGTAGAAGAAACTCTTTCCATGTGTTTTTGGTTTTATGAGTCAATCATGGGCTTGTTCTCCAGCCGCTATTTTGAAATGAGAGGCTGAATTTGAGAAGCAGTCCTGGGTTGCTAGTAAAAACAGCTTTTGGCTTAATAAAACATGCAAAAGGATACATGTTTTACATTTCTTCTAAAAGATTTTTTGAATCAACTTACTTTCCAATTTCAAATAACCCGATTATAGTTTTTTATAAGCTGTTCCAGACAAGCCTAAAATGGAATTGGTACAACAAATTTTGAGAAAAGCTGATTTTGAGAAGCAGTCTTGGGATTGCTTTCAAAAACATGAAAAAGATGCACATTTTAAATTTTTTCCAAAGATTTTTGAATCAACTTCCCAAGTTCAAATTACTGATTATAGTTACAAGATGTTTCAAGCAAGCCTAAAATGATATTGGTACCACAAATTTTGAGCAGCAGTCTTTGGGTTGCTCTCAAAAGCAGCTTTTAGCTTTTTAAAAAATGAATAGGATACATGTTTAAATTTTTTCCGAAGATTTTTGAAATCAATTTACTTTGCAATGTTGATAATGTGGTTATAGTATTTTATAAGCTGTTGAGAACAAGCCTATATGTATATTGGTACCACAACTTGGGTGATGCTTCCTATCCCACCACTTGGTCTTGGGGAATTCAACTATCTGTTCTGTGTTGCCTGATTAATGGTGGAAGTTGAAAGTAAAATACCAGCTGTTGCTGTCTTAAAACTGCTAACCGAAACTTATGCAATTCTTTTGTCTTACTGCAGCCTTTGCTTGGTCTTTTTCATTCTGAGCCTGGAAATGCCTTATGGAAACGCAATGTTGACTCTGCTTTTCAACATTGCACGGTATGTTTCTATCAAACAGAAATATGTCAATGACATTAGTTTTAAGTGTTTGTTTTATTTTTGTCTTAATAAATCTTGGCTACAATAGGACCATCATATCCACGTTATCTTAAGCTGTGAATATGGACCGTTAGGTGCAATAGAGATTTTTTTTTCCTAGTTAATACTTTTCGTGCAAGGAGTATTCAGGTAAGAATATTTTCTTTCCCAACATAAAACTGGAATAAGGAGTTGAATTATAGGTAGGATAACCAAGCAGTTGGCATACACACGGCATACTGAAGTGCTAAGTGCAGAGAGAAAGTCAATCGAGTTGTCAAAATGGACTATTTACTCCTGAAAAAAATATAGAAATCAAAATGTTCCCTTTAGCTTCTATTTGGAATTTTCTGTTTCTTGGAGGTTTCCTGTTTCTGTCATTCCAAAGATCCCATATCCTGCTAAGGGTGCAACCTTTCCTTTCCTGTTTGTCTTTTTCATATTCCTCTTTGCCAGCATAAGAATATTTTTTTTTACTGATCCTGGCTTGTTCCACTTTATAATTCAGAGAAGTAAATATGAAACACCAACATTTTTGGGCAGTGTACAGTAGAAATATGATGAGGTCATAAAGTTTTTTTTTTTTTTTGAGAATTTGTTCTAGGATAATAATTGTGTTTATTGTGCAGTGAGGGATGCTAGCACCCCCTATACTGTCTTTCCGAACTAACCTTAGTATGAATGAGATAGTGTTACAGTTCTATTGCAATTTGATAAAACACAAAAATTATTGCAGGAGGTATGCAGGAGTAGTTATAGCTCGCCTCTGAAGTCCAATTTAAAAACCTAAACAGGTTGAGCTGGTCTTATTGCTCCAGAAAGACATGTAAACCAATATAGCATTTATTGTATTCATTTTTATTTTGACCTCTTGTTCCTGTTGTCGTGTAAAGCCCACGGTTCACATATTGCTAAAAATGCAAGCTTTCATGTCCGCCTCTTCCTTCTCTATCACAAGCTTATACTACCTTACCCTTGCATGCATCACCATGTAGTGCCAATCATTTTTATCTGCACATTTTGACACTCTTGCTACCTCCTCCCAAGTATGATCTACGTAACAATTTCTTCCTCGTTAGATGGAAACTCCAGCTGCTAAACTCTTCTCTTCCTTTTTTTCATAGTTAGGATGGCATTAGCAATGGGGCCTCGAGTGAAGAAAACCATTTCGTAGGGGCCTGTGTTGCCTTTCAAGGAAACTTTGTTCTCCTTTTATTACTAAGCTTTGATACTAGGACTTTGACAATGAAGTTGCTCCTCTTGCCTTGTTTTAACATCCAGTTATAAGTGTGTGGTACTGATTAACAATATTCATAGAGCTTTACTGGGTGGGACTGAACTGAATTAACCTTCCAGTCTACAGTCGCTAATTATATTTTGGGTAGTTATGGTTTCTTATATTTTATGTTCCTGTGTATTCAATGGTTTTGGTTTGAGCTCTATCTGAGAAATTCAGTCTTTTCCATTGGCAGCACAGCACATGAAAAATCCTGGAAAATCTGTTGTAAGTGGGTTTTGACCACAACATTTCTCCTTCCAAAATTTCACTCTAGCACCATTACTAACCTAGAAAAGTATTATAACAACAAAGGTATCCTAGCCAGCCATAATTCCCTTCGAAAGCCTCATATGGGGCTACGGTCTTCAGGCCCTCTACAGGTTATCCAGTTGCCCATTTAAGTGCATATGTTTAAGCAACTTGGGCCTTGGCAGATATCCATATTTATTTTGTTGTTTTTTATAGCCTAACTTGCAGAATATAAGAGCTAGTTGATAAGATTTAATTGTTGCAATGAAAGAAGATGATTTTAAAGATTACATATGCTTGTTCAATACTTTTCTGCCTAAAAAGCTCTTGCAGTGCTTTCAATCATCTTTAGTGGCTACCTTTTTCATTTCTCCTAAAGAAAAGAAATAGCAAAAAAGGCATGGTGATCTTTCCTCCTTGTACCTTTACTGTTTTCTTTTTGAGTATACTTAAATAACTTTATAAAAGTACTATTGTTAGCAAGAAAAAACTATGTCTGGTCACTGTACAGTTTTCTGTTTTCACACAGTTTCTTCTACATGAGTATTAACCAATAGGCTGATGAGAATTGATTTTATGTTATCCCCTTGTTGTTGAAGGCAGTTTTAGTAATGGCAACCTTGTGCTAGTTTTTGAATGTCGAATTGGGTTGACTGCCTTAGAACATCAATTAGAACCTGATGTTTATCAATGCTGAAACTGCTGATGTTCTCAAAATGTTTGTTCCTACAGGCTTATGCTGCAGTTCATAGCCTAAAAGAATAAAGATATTATAAATGAAATAAAATAAGGATGAGAGATTAATCTCAAAACCAATGTAGTATAAATTGGTTTTGAAGGTTGAAAACACTATCTGTAACATTCATTTCTAAATGCTTTTCTCCATTGTTTTGTTTGGTTGCTTCACCATGGGAGTTGAATTTGAAGTTCTTTTAAAAAAAAGAGTAGGAAAAATAATAGACAAAAATGATAGAAACAGCGATTGTTGTCTTCTTGGCTGAATTTTTGACTGCTCCACAGTCACTTTAAGGAATAGCAGATCCTGAAAATACTATATCATATTCTAATCCATGTGAAACCTGAATTGCGGTGGTCTGTAGTGGAATTGGATGGTAAATTAGTCCAAATGTTAAGTTAGCATATTTATGTGCATTTATTTTGACTGTCCGAAGACTCTGGTTATTGTTGGAAGACTTAGCGACAACAAAATCTTATTGCTGTACCTCTAAGACATAAAAATTGTGATAACATGCATCATTGTTTAACTACTTTGGGATGAGAACTCTTTGGTGCAGTAGCTCTTTTCCTCTTCCTTTATGATTAGCCACATAAGAAGGATATCCTGTCTGGAGGTTTTCATAGTACATGCCTTCTAAGACATACGTTTTCCTGGCTCTACGCTTGGTCTAGGTTTTGAGATTGTGTGAATGGAAGGCTTTTAATTGAGGTCTTGCTTGGATGAAGGTAACTACTCTTTACCTTGGGAGAAAACTGAGAGGGAAGTGGAAACTAAATTGGCAACATCCTCACAACCTCTAAACCATCAGAACTGGAATTTTGGCTATTGAATTTGTTTACTATCATATGCACCAGTATTGAAGAAAGTACGAGTAATATGAGAGTGTTGATATTTGATCAAAGTGCAAAACAGTTTGAGACATTTCTCATAGAACTTCTCCATGCATGCAATGTGATCTTAGAAGCATCACTAGCTGCATGTACTCCTAACTATTTCAGCAATTTGTGGTTTGAAAATTCTTTTCTGCCTTTGGAAATTCTTGTCTGCCCTATTGGGCAAGGGGCGGTGGTTTAGAGGTAGGGTTTGACCACCATGATGTAAGAAAATCCCATGATATAAGAAAATCTTGTTTTGGGTAAGGTCAATTTATTTTTGTTTCATGTTCTCTCAAAGGTGTCTGCAAATATTGTTGACTATCTTTTTACTAGCCTAATATTTGTTTTGAAGTAGGAGTATGAAAGAGTTTAAATGTGCTTGCTTGATCAATTGCCTGTTTACTAAGTATACAATTTGAGAAAAAAAGAAGGATAGAGGGAGGGGGAGAGAGAGGGAGAGAGAGAGATTTTGCAATAGAACGAAGCACCATGAACTAACCATTATCTAACTGCCTATTTCCCAGTAAAATGCAAAACTGTCTAGCTCCTGTAAACATTAATGCAGCAGATATATGGCATGCAGTAACCATTTCTTGAACCTCAACATAGTGCCAAAATTTGGTGATTTAAAATCCATTAATAGTGTCCATATTGATGGTCGATTTGTTCCTTGTTATTAGCTGGGAAAAAGATATTGAAATCTATGGATTTCCATTCAACTTAAAAGTGCTACTGAGTGCAAAAGCCTGCTCGTCATATCCATGGACTTGAAGTCAGCTGTTCCTGTCTTTCTGTGATCGTTTCTGCACTTTAATATGATTGTGATTAGTTTGTTGCAGAAAATGATTTAGCAGTTTTGTGCTTCCTACACATGTTGACATGATTATTTGAATTTTACAGACTATAAAATCCCTTTTGGAGGAGACACTGGTGGCAATTCCTGACTTTGTTCTGGATTCACCTGTTGGTGTGGCACCATCTGGTTGCACAGAAGCTTTTGCCAATTCAAAAAGTTTATTACCTCCTCCATATATAACCACGGAAAAAGAGATCATGTATGCCTAACTTTAAATGCATGCAAAACTTCTGATGTTCGCTATGTATTGCAAAGATATTCAGTAGTTTCTATTCTTTGGGATATAAATTGGATGTCCCGTGTAAAATCAGGAAATTTCTTTTTAGGATACAAGTAGGCTGAAAGGGCTTACATGCAGATAGGATGAAAGGGCTTACATGCAGACTCTTAGCTACCACTGTTCAGACTAACAATGTTCTGAGTTAAAGATTCTACTAAGTTATTTATAGATTTAGGTTCCTTCTCAAGTGCACCAATCTATGCCTGTGGCAGATATTTTACCTATAGACTCCTTATGGTGCCCATTCAAGTTTCCTGTAGTACTCGTATTTCTGAATTGGTACTATTCAACATGTGTTGATTCGCCAGTTATGAATTTCAGAGAGATTTGAACGATGTTATCAGGTCAATATTGCTGCAAACTATGTTGGTTGAAATTAACTTTGTTTTGCTATATTACATGCCACTCCTTTGAGATCAACTTTTACTTCCGGAAGGGGTACATGGCATCACTGTTTCTCTTGTTTGTGAAATAGCCCTTAATCATGCTTAGTCATGGTCCTGAATATAACTGGAGCCCTTGAGCAACATGTAGTTTGAGACCATATCATCATTCTGAGCTTGCTTGATCAAGAACCTGACTGTACCTTGAGGATTTGCAATCTCCTCTCCCTTGCATAGAGCGTCCGCTAATGCGTTGAAACTGAAGACTTCTGGAACAGTATTGAAAGCTGTCATCTCAGTGAAGAACTTTCCAACCTTCTGCCATCTCCAACATCTACGTGTATTGCTCTGTAATCTGTATACACAATGACATCAGGTTTACGAGTCTTTCCTTTCTTTTTCTCTTTACTCTCAACATTTTGATGACTGCATTAGTCTTTCGTTTCCAGTTTTGGTGGGAGGGGTTTTATGGATGTATCATCTCTAGCCAAGATGCGTTTGTGAGTAGTGTACTCTGTTAGATTTGTGTTAGATATACAATTTTGATTTCTGTTAGTTTTACCAAAACAAACATTGTTGCTCTATATACCCATTTTTAGCTGAGTACATATTATGCCTTGGAGACATTTTTCTTCATTATTTTCTCAAATCAAGCTTACTATTGTATGAATTTAATCCTAAAAGGCATTTTCTATTAGCTGGAATATAAGAGTAACGATGGTTTTTTTTTTTTTTTGGACTTATCATATTAGTTTGTGAAGCAAATGGATTGCCTTGATAATTGCAAAATGGATAAACTCTGTTATACTAATTGTTCCTTTGAATGTGTTTAGCCTCATCATTTCTTTTTCTTTGTTTCAAAAAATCAACTTCAAACGAGATCCACTTCTTCAAAAGTGGTGAAAAGATGCAAACTTGATCTCAATATTCAAATAAACAAAAAAATTAGAAGGGTGAATATGTAAAAAAAAAATTCAGGCTTTCAAATCATGCAAGATTGAAAGAAACAAGTGAATTGAGTAATTTGTGTAACAGTAGCACATAAGCCAATCTCATAAATGAAAATCAAATTCATGCTGTGAAGTAGAAATCATGATGCATTACATATGAACTAAGTGGATCTGTGCATTAATGTGAATTTGAAGCTAATGGAAATGTTTAGAAACAAAATTGGATGTTTTAAGAGTTTGAACTCCAAAAAACCACAAATGTAATTTAATTATGAATTAATCTTTCTTATATTAAAGCGGTAAAGGTTTTTTTTTTTTAATCACTAGCCGGTTTTAATGTACGAAACTAGTTTTTATTAAAATTTGAAAATTTATTTTTACACAGGTGTCATGTATCCACATCTGCTAATATAAGTGAACCTTTACGTACGCTCAAGATGTAGAAAACATTAATCCAAAAATTAATTAAACCTATTATATTACTTATCAATTAACCCATATGAAATCATTTATTCCGTTACAGATTAAGTTTGAATATCTAATCCAGCAATCTTTTTGGACCACTATATCACCAAGTATCAATGAGGACTCATTGAGTTACAGTTCAATCATCCTGAATAGTCTTTGAGAGTTGACCATCTGAGAAGGGAGCAATTTGATCACCCGTTTTGGGCAGGCACTAGGACCGACAGTGGAACCAATAATGGGAAAACAGAATTTGGCAAAAGGAAATCATATTTCAGCTAAGTAAACCACAATCTGTTCATGTTACCAATGCTACATCTTTCATCTCTCTCACATGGCAACATTAACAAAAAGATTCAAGCATACCATTAGGTCACCATCTACAATGGTAAAGAAAAAAAAGGAAGTAATACTTACTCATCACAATGTGAATAATACACTTGTCCGAGTCTGGCAAGTTTTATACCTACCAATTGCTTTTTTCTTATTATTGTTCTTTTTTGGTGGAGCAGGAGAGGGGTGGAATTTGTACTGCAGAATGTGAAGGTTTGATGTCATGGCTGTACAAAGCAAAAGTGAATAGAAACAATTTGTTAGGGATTAAAATGTTTGGAAATAGTTATGACGAATTTTATTCGAAAGAAACCAATTAAAATGATTAACACTAATTTCTTCATCACTCTTGGGAACAGATTCTTTGGCTCTATGATTATGTTTTCATTAAGTGTCTTGTGCTTAAGAATGATGGATTATTTCTAGTGGCTGTGGAAGAAATGAGCCGTGTTTTCTTTTGTTGATCTGCCATGTAGCTCTTCTGTGCATATTTTATTTGTTTGGTTTTTGATAGTGCATGCTCTGATCAGGAATCGGGTCCTGTGTTACAAAGAGGATGACGATGATAGCATGTTTTTGGATGCTGTTACGGAGAATCAGTCTTCTTGCTCTTGTCAAAAATTTATTTTTGTGTCCTGTGGTGTAGATTCCAACAAGGCAATGTAGAAATATTTGTAGAATGAACTTAAAAATCAACATAGCAAATTTGAGAGATGAAATTTTTCAAAAAAAAAAAAAAAAAAAAGACAAACTATGGAACTGAAACAAGATTGCTCCCACTTCTCAATATGAATGTCGAAATCCAGCAAAACTAGTGCTATTCCTTAAGTTTTTTCTGGATCTAATCCATCATGCAGTCATATTGAGGATGTATGATATAGTAAGAGGATAAAATCAAGTTGATTCACTTTCACAGAGTAGTGATTTCAATTTAAGTAATGTTTAATCGCTTGTATTATTATTATTATTTTTTTGCTTTGAGCACCTGGTATCCCCACCCTCAGTGAGACTAATCCGGATTCGGCGTGAGAAGGACTCGTAGAGTCAGACTCTTACTCGAGGGTGAAGGCCTCACCCAGAACTTTTTAAGGCGCCACGAGTCAAACTTGCAACCTCCTGTTTGCATTAGTAATTCACTTACCAGTAGTAAATTTGGCTCAATTGGCAAGAACGAGTCACTTCTTCACAGGTCATGTATTTGAATCCTCCTCCCTGACCCGTGGTGGTGATCAGAGCCGAATCCACCCTTATCTCTTGGTTTCACGATTGGTATTTAATACTCATCAGGGATATGCTATATGGGTGGCCTATATTGACTCAATGTCTCTTAATTGCTACTTACCATCCTCAGATGGACGAGTCTAAACTGCAAAAATTACTTCAAATCACATCTTGGCTAACATCAGTTCAAATGGAGTTGTGAGAAATTTAAGGGCAAGTCTTAATTCTATTTTATTTTATTTCTCCTTGACAAACATTTAAGGACGAGTCTTACATTGAAGTTTTATTAATATGTAAGCGAACATACAATAGAACAATCTAAAATTTACGTGCTGTGCTTTGTCTTTTTTTAAACGTCTTCTATTTTACAATGCTTCAAAATCATGTTCATTGAAAAAGATACTGACTTACAAACAAATTAATTATTTGGAAGCAATAACTATTATTTTTTAATGGCTTATGTAGGAGGTTTCCAAGTTTTGTGCAACAGTATCCAAATTGTAAGATGAAAAAATTAATCTTATTTCTGAATGCAGAAAAGAAAAAGTTCACGATAAATATTTTCTGTAAATGGGCTTTTTTTTTTTTGTAGTAGCATCTATTCTCTACAGTTAGGTTTGTTTCCGATGAATCTGATCACAATTATTTACTGAAAAGGTACTGCTCAGCATAGAATGGAAATACTGCATGCATATGTTGAATACTTGTAACCATTATTTATTATTGTTTGATAGAATGGAAATGAGAGATGTTTGTTGCTTTTGCTGGTTACTATTGTGCATGATCTGCAGTAATGTGAATGACCTCTCTGCAGTAATTGTAAAATATCTATTTGGGCATGTGGTAGACCTCAAATCTGGAGAGAAAGGCCTAGACTGAACCGCCAGAAAGGAATTTCTTTTGATACAGCACATAGCTTGGGGTACCTGTCTGGGCATTGCAATCAGAAAATTGTCCGTTGAGATGCCTTGAATCAGGTCTTCGACCTTCGCTGAGCTATTCGGGGGTCTCGTTGAACTTACGGTATATATTAGTTACCGTGTCTGTTTTATTTTGGGTCTTAGTTTTGGACCTATTTTTGGATCCAATCCGTTTGATTGTATATATATACACCTTATCTTAGTCTGTAAACTATTTCGATTGGAACCCTAATAAAATCTGATTTTCCCCAAAGTTATTCTTGTGTTATTGTTTGTTCTTCTGCTCCGCTGCATCTGTTATAACATTGTACACATAGATTTGAAGGCTGCTGCAAAAATCCCATCTGGATCATGAGTGTGAAGCTGTTTTTCAGTGGATACAAAACTAATGCATCACGACTCGAGTCTAGGGAACTATGGGACACTTTCCTCTTAATATTTCTTGACCGGAAAGCATCCGGAGAAGACAGACAGATGTAATTGAATATGGTGCAACTCTTGTTGAACTTGTAACCAGTCCGCGTGCAATAGATCTCTCTGGGCTCGAAGAAGAGGAGGATGTACTGCTGCTACATCGTGCGAGTTATATCATTCATTCACTCATGAAATTCAGACTCACTCATGCTTTCCGTCCCATCGAAAGCGTCATAATTTTCGTTTTTGGTTGTTTCAAAATATTTGTCATGCTCGAAATTTCTAACTACTTTATAAATTGAAATTTCTCTTATGCCTTTCATTAGTAATGCATAAAGATAAATATGATGTGATTGCTTTCCACTTCTTACTTTGATCGGCACATGATTAAGGACAAAAGTGGAATAAAAGGAAAAAAAATTTTTGGTGAAATATACTATGCATAAAAAGTACGTATCCTCAAATATTACTAAATACATGGGACGGAGGGAATATATTTTTAATAATTATAAATCATTTTTCCCTGCAAGTGCAGGCAAGGGCTGGGCAAGGCAGGGGGGAGCGAGTGACGGGGGCTGGAGGCAGAGACTGGGGGGAATGTTTGTGCAGCGGGGTAGGGGGGCGGGGGACGAGTTCTCTTCCCCACTCCGCTTTGTTGCCATTTCTAAAACTTTCGTTGTTGTTGTGTTGAACGTACATGTACAATGCTCCCAGATTTGCATTGCTTTCTCAGTAATGGAACCAGTCTATAAAAAAAAAAAAAAAAATTGAATTTCATTTGACCGCATAAACTTTTGTTTTATTCATAATGTTCAATAAAAAAATAATGTGAGATATTTTTTGATAACATTACAAGGTGGAAAGAGGAGGGATCGAGAGTTCAACCATGACGTCACAGTTAATTGTCTAGTGTCTGTATCACCTAAATCGTTAGATTAGAGATTATTATCTTTCTTTTCTCGTATACCAATAATAGCATAAGATTTGAAATAAAAAAAATACATAAGATTTTTACTTACCTTCTAAGTCACTATTTGCATTTCCTCTTTATTCTAAATTTATTGTCATTTTCTTTTAGAATCAATTTTATATCTATATATGATTAAGTACACTAGAAGGATCGAAATTGTATTGAAATATAGGAAGTTAATTCACTGTCATATTCTTTTAAAATCAATTTTATCTGTATACGTGACTAAACTAAAATGTAATTCGAAGAATCGAAATTATACCGAACTAGGAACTTCTTTCCTTCTTTTCCGATATTTTAATGTAATAGGCCTACTTTTGGCTCAGATAATTACCTACTCCTGCCTCCTTTCAAACGAGCCATTGAAAAAAAAAGTGTGAACATATGATTTCAAAATGTAATTTCATAAAAATAATTTCAAAATTATATTTAAATGATTATTCTACAAAGGCCGATGAATGCTATCAAATTTTAAATTTTCCTACTCAAACTCGACTTAATACCAAGTAACTCGAACTTAATTAACAAGAATGTCGAACCTTAGACAAAACTAGGTGCAAGTTTGAGTCAAATAGTTTGACTATACCCCTAAACTTGGGCGAATTTCTTAGAATATTGTTAAATTTGAAAAAGTTCAGAAAATTGGGATTATTTAGAGGGAATTGCCGAATAAGGGGTCGCCGTAAGTGAGAAGTGAGGCTACTAATAAAAACAATTTTCATTTTCATTTATTTTGGTTTCATGTATTTTGGGTCGGTTATTTTTTTTAAAAAAAAAACCTCTTCATGAGCGGCGAAGGAATCTTGGTCAAATTGTTTCGCCGCTCATCAGATGAGCGGCTAAGCTTTTGTCCTTATTTGCTAATCGAATTTGGTGAATTTGGTGATGGTGATGGGACCGAGTATGTGACTTGGTCAAATTGCTTCGCCGCTCATCAGACGAGCGGCTAAGCTTTTGTCCTTTTTTCCCTTTTTTGAAGCATTCTCCTAAATTTTATTATTTCATATGTAATTTTTAATAAATTATTTAATATTTAATTTCATATGTAATAAATTATTTATTATTTCATATGTAATTTTTAATAAGTGTCGCCGCTCATTCTAATTTATTTTTTTTGCGAAGCATTCTTCCTACATTTTATTATTTCATATGTAATTTTTAATAAGTTATTTAATATTTAATTGTGACGGCCCTATCTCCCCCTAAGGCAAACCAAAGGGTTAGACGGATCGCCTGCCCAACTCTCGCCAGGATTACGGATCCAGTACGTACAAAACACTCCTTTTTGTACGAGGGAAAAATTCAAGAAAACGAGCGATCAACACGTATGAAGTCATTCTTCTCCAATAAATATCACTACGTATGAAAGTACAGCGCTCGAGCACTTAAAACGGTCATGAAAACGAAGAAACAAAAATTTGCCGCGGATGAACAGTAACAGCCACGTCACTATCTGGTCGAAATCTGGTCGGATTTCCGGCCGGATATGAGGCAGTGGCCAACTCCAAAGGGGTTCAAGATCCCCTGCCAATCCGGCCGGTAATCCGGCCAGAAACTGGCCGGATTTCTCTGGCCGGATTGCGGCCAGAGACCAAAACCCAAAATTTTTTTTCCTTCCCCTGCATATCCAGATTCTTGGCCGGATTTGGTGAACAGTAACCTAGCTAAAATTTTTCCTTCTTCGCTCGAATTCGGTACTCGTCTCAAATCAAGTCAAACACGTAGAGCAGTTAATCCTCAACTTAATGTATACATGCCATAACATATCCATGTCATATACATATGAGGAAACACAATATGATTGATCCCACATTTACAACATACACTCAAAAGTATACTTGGAAACAAATACATTAGGGTTTTCCTAAAACAGTCGAAGAGCTATCCAAAAGCAAAATGCCTAACTAGCTCAACTCGTTTTCTCAAAAACTTGGTTCAGAAAGTGCCCCTGTAAGGAAAACAAAACAACATGGGTGAACTTATGCTCGTGAGGTATCAAAAGACTCACAAGTACATTATGCATGGCCAACAAACACAAGATACAAGGTAGATGAGAATCTTTCCCTCTAAACAAAGCCACAAAGCACTTCAATTCTACCTAGCAAGTAGGTTTTATGGAGAAATTTGGGAGATGAATGGTTAGATTCCAAGATTTGAGTAAGAAATGAAGAACCAAGGTTGGAAGTTTTCTCTCTTCTTCTCTCTATGATGGTCGGCCAAGAGGAGGAGAAAATGAGGGGATTTTTGGGTCAAAATTGATTATAAGGAAAGGTAAAGAAAATGGTCAAAAGTCCAACTTCCAATAGAATTGCAACATGTGACCTTTTCAAGGTTATCCCACTTCCTTGTCTTGTAATGCTTAATTAAATTAGCTAACCTCTAATTAACCCATACTACAAGGTAATAAAATCTCCATATATAAAATTTTCCCCAAACCACATTTACTGTACCAATTGCACTAGTGGATCCCACATCCACTGTACACCCCTATTATCACAGAAAATGACTTATTTCAGGAAAATGATTTAAAATTCATATTTTCTCATAAAAATTCCCAGAAAATGCACATATTAAGGAAAACACTAAAATTAAACCCAAAAGCCTAAAATAAATGCCTAGAAAATAAGAAAAATTTTCGAAGTCTCACACTATCTCCCCCTTAAAGAATTTCGTCCTCGAAATTTCTCACCTGAGTTATTAAATAGTTCAGAGTATTTCTTTTTCATCTTCTCCTCCATCTCCCAGGTCGCCTCTTCGACTCCGTGGTTCTTCCACAGAATCTTCACCATTGAAATTTGTTTAGTTCTCAACTCCTTAACCTTTTTATCAAGTACTCGCACAGGTCTCTCCTCGTAGGTAAGGGTTTCGTCAATTTCAATTTCCTCCGGTTGCACAATGTGAGTTGGATCGGAGTAGTATTTTTTGAGCATTGACACATGGAATACATCGTGAATCCGTGACAAGTTTGGCGGCAACTCGAGTCTGTACGCTACTTTCCCAACTAGTTGAAGAATCGAGAAGGGTCCTACGAATCTAGGTTGGAGCTTCTTTCCTCTACCAGCAGTAACACTCCGCAACGGGGTAATCTTAAGGAAAACATGGTCTTCAACTTCAAATTTCAAATCTTTCTTTCGGTTATCTGCATAGCTCTTCTGGCGATTCTGAGCTGTTTGGAGTCTCTGACAGATTAATTTGATCTTTTCTTGGGCATCCTCCATCCACAGAATAGTAGTAGGATGTAGGATCTTCTTTTCTCCTACTTCATCCCAGTATATCAGTGAACGATGCTTTCGCCCATAAAGAGTTTTATATGGTGCCATTTGGATCGACGAATGGTAACTATTATTGTAGGTGAACTCCACTAAAATCATATGTTCACCCCAACTACCCTAAAATCTAAAATACATGTTCGTAACATATCCTCAAGGGTCTGAATCGCCCGTTCCGACTGTCCATCTGTTTGAGGATGATAAGTGGTGCTTAAGTTCAGCTTCGTCCCCAAAGTTTCTTGAAACTTTTACCAAAATTTGGACACGAAACGAGGGTCTCGGTCGGAAACTATACTTATGGGCACTCCATGTAATCTCACAATCTCCTCCAAATATACTCGAGCTAACTTATCCATGGAATATTTCATATTCACAGGTAAGAATGAGCCGACTTGGTCAACCGATCAACGATTACCCAAACGGCATCATGTCCCTTTTGGGTTCTAGGTAGTCCAGAAATGAAATCCATGGTGATATGTTCCTATTTCCATTCGGGTATCTTCAGAGGCTACAGTAGTCCCGAAGGTTTTTGGTGTTCGGCCTTAACCTGCTGGCATACTAGACAGGTTTGTACATATTGAACTATATCCCTTTTCATCTTGTCCCACCAGTACAACTGTCGTAAATCCTGATACATCTTGTTACTACCTGATGGATTGTATATTTGGATCGATGGGTTTCTTCCAAAATTTCTTTTCTCAAATTCTCATCCATAGGCACCACAACCCGATTTCTAAATCTCAAAATCCCCTAAGGGCTTAGATTGAAATCCAAAATTTCTCTTTTCTTCACCTTTTCTACCCACTTCTGAACCGTCGGATCTTTAGTTTGAGCCTCCTTAATTCTAGTCAATAAAGTGGATGTCACTCGTACGTTACGAAAAGTTATTTTCTTATGTTCCAATTTTGGATTCTACTCCCCAACGGTTCCCAACATTTCTCATTCTTTCAACATTAACCCAGAAATTTGAACCTTTCTACTTAGGGTATCAGCTACAACATTAGCCTTACCCAGATGATAATTGATTGAGCAATCATAGTTTTCTAAGAATTCCATCCAACGACGCTGTCTCATATTCAATTTCTTTTGGGAAAAGAGATATTTAAGGCTTTTATGATCGGAATAGACCTCAAAGGTCACCCTGTACAAATAGTGCCTCCACTTTTTCAGAGCAAAGACAACTGCAGCCAGCTCTAAGTCATGAGTGGGATAGTTTTGTTCTTGAATTTTCAGTTTTCTAGAAGCATAGGTTATCACATTCTGGTGTTGCATCAATACACACCCCAAACCTTCTCTAGAGGCGTCGGTATAAACAGTGAACTGTCCTTACCGTTAGGCAAGGTCAAAATAGGGACCATGGTTAACCTCCGCTTCAACTCTTGAAAGCTGTTTTCACACTTATCACTCCACAGAAACCGACCACCGTTCTTCGTTAAATCAGTTAAAGGACTGGTAAGTTTCGAAAAATCTTTGATAAATCGCCAGTAATAACCTGCCAACCCTAGAAAACTCCGAATTTTAGTAGGATTGTCGGGTCTCTTCCACTCAGTCACTGCCTCTATCTTGGCCGGATCTACAGCAATTCCTTCCTTTGAAATCACGTGCCCCAGGAAAGAAACATTCTCGAGCCAAAACTCGCACTTACTAAATTTAACATACAACTGGTGATCCCTCAGAGTTTGTAAGATTTCTTTCAAATGTTGCACATGCTCCTCATGGGTTTTTGAATAAACCAAAATGTCATTGATAAAGACAACGATAAATCGGTCCAGATAGGATTTGAAAATCCGATGCATAAGGTGCATAAAAGCGGCAGGGGCATTGGTCAGCCCAAAAGGTATCACGGTGAACTCGTAATGCCCATACTGAGAATTGAAAGCAGTCTTAGACACATCTTCCTTCCTAATCAGCAATTGATAGTATCCCTGTCGGAGGTCTAGTTTCGAAAAGACCATCGCACCTTGCAACTGATCAAATAACTCATCAATGTGGCGTAGTAGATACTTATTCTTAATGGTTACATTGTTCAACCCTCGGTAATCAATATACAGTCTCAAGGTCCCGTCCTTTTTTTTAACAAAGAGAACAGATGCCCCCCAAAGTGATCCACTCTCATGAATAAATCCCCGCTCTAGAAGGTCTTGCAACTGCACCCTCTTTGAGTTCGGCAGGTGCCATTCGGTAGGGAGTCTTGAAAATAGGAGAAGTCCCCGATAATAAGTTAATTTCAAACTCAATTTCTCTTTCCGGAGGTAGATTCACTAATTCATCGGGAAATACATCTGGATATTCACTCACTACTGGAACAACTTCTTTTTTCAGTTTATCGGTAGGAGTGTTAATGAGAAAAACTAGGAACCCTTGTGCCCCTCTACTCAGTAGTTTCCTAACACAAATACCCGAAATCATAGCAGATGAGTCTAAACTACCCCTCACATCTAACCTCAAAGTTGCCTTCCTAGGGATACGAAATTCTACTATTTTTCTCTTACAGTTTAGTTGGACATCATATCGAGCCAACCAATCCATGCCCAATGTCACATCGTACCTTTTAATGGCCAAACTTATCAAATTCCTCAACAACTTTCTCTCTCTTATCCAGATTTCACAATTTACATACATTTTGCTAGAAATCAAACATTTGTCCTCCGTAAGAGTACTAACTTCCAGCTCATAGGGGAGAGTGACAGGATTTATATCAATTTCACACATAAACTTAGGGTTAACAAAGGAATGGGTGGCACTAGGGTCTATCAAAATTCTAGTTAGGCGGTGGAAGACAGTGATCATATCTTCCACCACATCTGTCGAGTCAGGAACTGGACGTTGCTCGATGGAGTATACTCGAGCAGGCACATTCGGTTTTGCTCCTTCTTCCTATGACTGACCTGAGATAGCTTTCGACGACTGAATAGTTCCTCTCGCTTCTCGAGACTGGATCGGACAACTGGCGAGCCGGTGCTCCGCACTCCCACAGCGTAAGCACTTGTTCTACTTCCTCCAACAGTCGTCCTCCGTATGGTTTGGTTTCCCACAAAAGCTACATGGGCCACGAGAAATGGTGGCTGAACTCCCTTGCGAGACGCTCCTCTGCTGATCTCATCTCGTTTGCCCACCTCAGGGTGGAGTACCTCTTGCCGTACCCGAAAACCATCCCTCTCCGGCTCACCTTCCAAATTTGGGAGGAGTACTCTTATCCCCTTGAGTTGAGCTACTTCGGGAAGCTCCACGTTTTCTATTTTGAAAATTTCTCACTTGAAGTCTGGCATTCTCAGATCGTAAAACTTTCTCAACGGTATCACTAAAGGTGGTGATTTGGGCCACGGCCAAATCTTTTTGAATTTCTACGTTAAGCCCCTGAAGGAAACGTCTCGCCCTTCTTTGTTCGGTTAGAATAAGTTCAGGAGTGAATTTGGACAAGCGGGTAAATTGGCTCTCGTATTCAGCCACAGATTGGGTGCCTTGGCGAAGTCGGATGAACTTGTCTCCTTCTTTTCCTGGACCAATGGCAAAAAGTACTTAGCATTGAACTCCCTTACGAAGTTCACCCACGTTCTTGGTGTCTGTTCTCTCTCCCACTTGGTTCGTATTATATTCCACCAAGAACGAGCGGTTCCGTCTAGTTGAAAAATCGCAAAAGTAACTTGCATCTCTTCAGAGTAATGGAAGGCGGCAAAAATATCTATCATCTTCTCCAGCCACTGTTCGGCCACGTCTGGATCGGACCCTCCAAGAAACTTTGGTGGAGAGAATTTTTGAAACCGTTCGAGAGCTTGATCCTCGCTCTCGACGTGATTTCTAAGATTTTCAGGGTTACCAACTTGTGGATTAGGGTTGGGGCCCTGTTGTTGCACCACCTGGGTTAGGAGATCAGTCATCCGTTGGATAGCAGCGGCTACCTGAATATTGGGATCGATTTGGGGTTCAGGATTTGGTTCGGTCGTGGGCTGCCCACCCCCACGTCCACGACCTCGACCACTACGAGTGCCTTCCATCGATTTAGGTCAATCTAGGGTCGAGGCACAATTATAGTATTAGAAAAGCAGATAACCCTTCACAGATAGTAAGCACAGACAATTATTTAATCAAATACCACATAAAGGATAGAAACACATAGAACATATATTCATATAACACAAAGCAGTCATACAGTAGTTCAGTCACACATAACAGTCATACAGTAGTTCAGTCAAACACGTACAAAAGATCCCCTCAAACAAAGCGGGATTTTTCAAAAGTCACTATACACCCTAGAAAAAGGCCAAACAACTAACAACGACCTATCTTCCTAGGTCCCCTACACCCAGAGTCAAAACACGGCTCAAGGAACTTTAACCTAGTTTCCAACTGAGCCTACGGATTCACCCCCATGACTAGGACTGGACGTGACTCCTTCTCCAGGTGCCCCAACACCCGAAGCCTCCACTTCATGGAGCTGCTCTTGAAGAGCATTCACTCGCTCTTGCTCCATGACTAAATCGTCTTGGAGCTCCGCAATTCGGTCGGCTTACATCCTAAGGACGCCTCTCAGTCTAAGGATCTTAGTGTGATCCTGAGCAGCTGCGTGTCGGAGCCTCATTCTCTCCTCTAGCACCGTTACGACCACATGATCGGCATAGGAGTACCTCTGGCAACGGGTACAACATCGAGTGCGATTAGCGGTATACCATAGCCGGATCGGACCTCCAGGTCTCTCCTGGTAGTCGATAACACGATAACGTCTTCGCGGCGGCTCACTTCCGCTCCCACTAGCTCCGTCCATACCTATAAGAGAGTCATGAGTGATCACTCAGACAATACAATAGAACTAAAGCGTTTTCTAGCACAATACTGACCAAATCTCAAAATCAAGTCCTAGTTTGCCCAGATTAACTCAAACCTGGATTCTGATACCACCAGTGATGGCTCCATCTCCCCCTAAGGCGAACCAAAGGGTTAGACGGACCGCCTGCCCAGCTCTCGCCAGGAATACGGATCCAGTATGTACAAAACACCCCTTTTCGTACGAGGAAAAAATTCAAGAAAACGAGCGATCAACACGTATGAAGTCATTCTTCTCCAATAAATATCACTACGTATGAAAGTACAGCGCTCGAGCACTTAAAACGGTCATGAAAATGAAGAAACAAAAATTTGCTGTGGATGAACAGTAACAGCCACGTCACTATCCGGTCGGAATCTGGCCGGATTTTCGGTCGGATTCTTGGCCGAATATGAGGCAGTGGCCAACTCCAAAGGGGTTCGAGATCCCCTGCCAATCCGGCCGGTAATCCGGCCAGAAACTGGCCAGATTTCTCTGGCCGGATTGCTGCCAGAGGCGAAAACCCAAAATTTTTTTTCCTCTCCTGCATATCCGGCCTTATATCCTGCCAAAATTTGGCCGAATTTTTAGCCGGATTTGGTGAAGAGTAATGTCACTAAAATTTTTCCTTCTTCGCTCGAATTCAGTACTCGTCTCAAATCAAGTCAAGTCAAACACGTAGAGCAGTTAATCCTCAACTTAATGTATACATGCCATAACATATCCATGTCATATACATATGAGGAAACACAATGATTGATCCCACATTTACAACATACACTCAAAAGTATACTTGGAAACAAATACATTAGGGTTTTCCTAAAGCAGTCGAGGAGCTACCCAAAAGCAAAATGCCTAACTAGCTCAACTCGTTTTCTCAAAAACTTGGTTCAGAAAGTGTCCCTGTAAGGAAAACAAAACAACGGGGATGAGTTTACGCTTGTGAGATATCAAAAGACTCACAAGTACACTATGCAAGGCCAACAAACACAATATACAAGGTAGATAAGAGTCTTTCCCTCTAAACAAAGCCACCAAGTACTTCAATTCTACCTAGCAAGTAGGTTTTATGGAGAAATTTGGGAGATGAATGGTTAGATTCCAAGATTTGAGCAAGAAATGAAGAACCAAGGTTGGAAGTTTTCTCTCTTCTTCTCTCTATGATGGTCGGCCAAGAGGAGGAGAAAATGAGGGGATTTTTGGGTCAAAATTGATTATAAGGAAAGGTAAAGAAAATGGTCAAAAGTCCAACTTCCAATAGATTTGCAACATGTGACCTTTTCAAACTTATCCCACTTTCTGATTTATTTCAGGAAAATGATTTAAAATTCATATTTTCTCATAAAAATCCCCAGAAAATGCACATATTAAGGAAAACACTAAAATTAAGCCCAAAAGCCTAAAATAAATGCCCAAAAAATAAGAAAATTTTCGAGATCTCACATTAATAAAAGGCAGAGCGACCAAGTTTTTTCCTGGCGTTTTTATGTAACCTTAAATAGGCGTAATTAGGATTTTACGTTTTACATGAAATACTAATTTTCAAATTATAGTGTAACACTTTTTAAATTAAAATTCTTAAATCATATTACTAAAATTCTATTATAAATCAAAATTATTAAAAAATTAAAATATAACATTAGAATAATGTGAAATTTATAAATTAACATAATAATTGGGTATGCTATTAAATTACTAATAAAATTTACTTTAGTCATATTTTTAAATTTTATAATATTATTATCGCAATCAATAATGATAAATAATACAATATTTATAGAATGTAATAATTAGTATACAAACTTAAATAATAATAAATTAGGTATAATTATAGTTGAGGATTTAAATAATTGGTATGGTATTAAAAACATTCTGAAATTTACCTAAGTCATATTTTTAAAAATTTTAATGGTAATGCTAAATTGAATAATAATACATAATGCAACATTAAACAATATTTATAGATTCTATAAATATTGCTAACACATAATGCAAATTATTGGTAATTATTACAATCTATAAATATTGTATTATTTATCATTCATAATCAACAAATATCATCTCATTCGCCTTTTACAAAATAGCCTCTCTCTCTTTTTTCTTTTTATAAAAAAAAAAAAGGGGGTTTGGGCATTGCCAGGCTTTTGATTGAGCTTTAATATCCGACACTGTGACGACGTCGTAATTGAGAAAGCAAGCGCAATTGCCTGGATTTACCTCAGAAAATAATTTTCAACAACCGAACTTCAGAATTTGCCTGAAAAAATCCCAGCAATTAGTTCATTTGAGACCGGAAGACGATGGGGATGATGAACTAATTCGCCTTTCTGCGGTGATTGTTTCCATTGCTCGGTCTCAGGGAGCAGCGGCTTCATTAGGTACTCCTGCTCCTGCAGGTTGTACTACTCTTGCATCATTCCTCTCTGCATTCCCAAACCATAAACCCCATTTGGCTTGTTATTCTGCTATTAGTAGTAAATTTAAGAGTTCTTCTGAAAAAGCTCTGAAATTTCAACCTGAATTAAGGAATGATATTAATAATGTCAACAGTCTTGATGATGCTTTGAGCTTGTTCGAGCGGATGGCTCGGATGAGGCCTCTGCCTTCTGTTATTCAATTCAATCAAATGCTGACTTGTATTGTTAAGATGAAGAATCATTATTCTTCAGTTATTTCCCTTTTTAGAGATATGTGTGTCCAGGGCATTCCTGTTGATGAGGCCACCCTTAATATAATGATTAATTGTTGCTGCGTTGTGGGCCGAGTGGATTTAGCTTTTTCTACATTGTCTGGCTTCTTCAAACGTGGTTTTGTTCCTAATGTGGTCACCTTTGGCACTTTACTTAAGGGACTCTTTCGAGAACAGAAGGTTCCTCAGGCACAAGAATTTTTCAAAAAGATAATCAAGGAAAAACTTTGTAAACCCAATGAAACTATGTTGGGCATTGTGATAGATGGGCTCTGTAAGGCAGGAAACACTCAAACAGCCATTGAATTCCTCAGAGCAATGGAAAAACGAGGAAGTCCTTGTAAACCTGATGCAATTATGTATAATGCCGTCATGGATAGCTTGTGCAAGGATAAAATGGTTGATGAAGGTCTTGCCCTGTTACTGGAGATGATTGAAAAGGACATTCCCCCGAATGTTGTCACTTACAGTAGTTTGATTCAAGGTCTGTGCAACTTAAGCAGATGGAAGGACGTTGACAAGCTCTTTTCTGAGATGAAGGTTTATAAAATTGTTCCAGATGTTATTACTTTTAGTATAGTGGTGGATGCACTATGTAAGGAAGGGCATATAGAAGATGCTGAAGAGGTAGTCCGGATCATGATCCAGCAAGGTCGAAATCCCGACCTGGTCACATACAGTTCCTTAATGGATGGGTACTGTTTACAGAGGCGAATAGATGACGCAAGGAGAGTTTTCAATACCATGATTGCTAGCGGCCTTACACCCGATCTCCATTGCTATGGTATTCTAATAAATGCCTATTACAAGACCAAGAAATTGGAAGCAGCCATGAAGCTCTTTCGAGAGATTCCACATAAAGGTTTAACACCTGACATTGTTATTTATAGCACTGTGTTGCAGGGGTTATTTAGTTCAGGAAGGTATCTTAGCGCACGAGAAATTTTCAAGGAGGTGCAAGCTTCAGGCATGAAGCCTGATTTTCACACTTACTGTGTGGTACTGGATGGATTATGCAAGACTGGACATGTCGATGAAGCATTGGAGTTATTCCATGCAATGGAAACTGATGGAACAAATCTACACATAGAAATGTACAATATCATCCTTGATGGGTTGTGCAAAGGCAAGAGGCTCGATAGTGCTCGAGATGTTTTCAACAATCTCTCCCTTAAAGGATTGGACCCTAATGTCATAACATACAACACCATGATTGCTGGCCTGCTTTCAGAAGGTCTGCTCATCGAGGGCAAAGAGCTCATTTTAAAAATGGAAGAGAAGGGTTGCTTGGCAAATAGTGTTACATACAATGTCATTCTGCAAGGACTCCTTAAGGGAGGTCATTATGATGATGCGATGGTCTATCATGAAGAAATGGTTCATTGAGGATTCTTGCTGGATGCATCTACGTTTTCCATTTTACTTGCTTTATCTGCTGCAAATCAGAACAATCCTTCTGTGCTATTGTTGATGCTGAAGATTGATCCCGATAGCAAGAAGTTCATGGATGGGGGACAAAGAGGCCCTTCACATTAGTTGTAACATGGTGGTTGTGCAGTTTTTTGGCCCCTGATGTTTAATTTGCTGGTAGAAATGTTAATAAGGTTCACATTTGATCCTTTTGTCACTTATCATCTTTGTTTAGAGGAGGCCTCTTGGTGATATTTTGTGAAATACCTCAGAGAGCATCGGTCTGGTGGTGAAGCTGCATTTCTTAGGGAAGTTCAATTGTTAGGTGTATCAGTTCACAGAAAGTTGGTGCAGTTAATTGGATTTGTACGTCTTCTTCTCAAGACTTCTTCTTTATCTTTTCATGGAGAACTTCAATGTGGCATGTCACTTAAGTGGTAAATTGTACAGGCTCTTTTTCTTCATTTTTCATGGGTGTTGGTACTTTAGCTTGCCTTTTAAGTTCAGTTCGGATAATTACTATTTGAATTTGTTGAGTGTAAAGAATTAAATATCATCTGCAATGTAGTTTGTGATATTCAATTTCTAGAAAAGTTTCAAGCTGCACTTCTATAATTTTGAGGAAATTTTTTCATGTAAGAATGATAAATAGTTACTTTTATTTCAATTGCTAAATGGAGCCAAAAGTTCCACCGGTTCAAAAGTGTACAAACTTTCTAGACCAGTTTCTTGCTTTGGATTCATATTTTGATGTCCATAGTCATGGCCATTGATGTTTTTCACAGCATTTGACTGAACCCGAACTTTTCAAGTATGATCCAGCAAAAAGTATTCTGATTGTTTTTCCCTTTAATTTTTAATGCAGTACTAAGTTATATAGACATTTAGTGGAAGTGTAGCAAAAATATCATTCCCTTGCAATAACTTAGAATAATTTATCCCAGAAATTCTCTGTTTTTTTTTTCATATATTTCTCCTCATACATAAATCCACTTGGTTGTTGATTAACAATAGACATGATTATGGGATTCTTCAATATTAATATTTGGTTGTTCCTAAGTCGCAATAGTAACTAAAGAAAGGTTTTTATTGCAATGCTGTACTTCTATTAGGTCACCATCAGCAATGGTCAGGAAAAAAAAAGAGAGTTTTACTGGCTCATCTTATCAACCAATTTCTTTTTTCTTGTTCTTTTTAGGTGGAGCAGAAGAGGGGTGGAATCTGAATTGCTGAGTATGAAGATTTGATGTCAGCTCAGACTGGATAGAGACAATTAATCAGGTATTCAAATGTAAGGAAATAGTCATCATGAATTTTATATGAGAGAAATCAGTTGAAGTGGTTAAGACTATTTCTTAATCACTCTTGGGAACAAATTTGATGGCTCTATAATTATATTTGGTTAAATAACCTGTGCTTGAAAGTGATGGATTATTTCTATTGGCTGTGGAAGAAGTAAACTGTCTAGTGACTTATAAACAACATTGAAAAGTGATCTTTTGTTGATCTGCCATATAGCTCTTCCATGCAGATTTTATTTGTATGGCTTTGATGCTGCATGCACTAATTTGCAATGGGATCATGTGTTGCAAAGAGAATGACGGTAGCATGTTTTTTGGATGCCGTTAAGAAGAATAATTCTTCTTGCTCATGTTGACAACTTAACTTTTGTCCTGTGGTGGAGATTTAAATGAGGCCTTGTAGAAATGTTTGTAGAATGAGTTTAAGAAATGCTTTCTGAGTTAGTATTATTCCAAATTCAGCTTAAGTTTAGCTCAGAAAGTATTATTCTTCCATCCTGTGTTCACATGCATGGAGTTAAGTTGTCATTAAATTTGTGATAGTTTAAAAATCAATTTTTCACATCTGAGAGACGATTTAAAAAAAAAAGAAAAGAAAAAGAAATACATATTGAAATGAAACCAGAATGCTCCCACCTCTCAATTTGAATGTCGAACTTCAGCAAAACCAGGGCTAGCCCTTATTTTTTTGCTTTTTGGATCTAACTCATCATGCAATCTTATTCAGGTTGTAAGGTATGATAAGAGGTTAAAATCAAGTTTATTCAATTTCACAGAGAACATAATTTCAATTTTAAGTTATTAATTATTAATCTCTTTCTTTCATGATTGGGATATAGCACTCATCGGGGAAAAGCTATATGGTGCCCTGTTATGATTCAATGTCCATTGATTGCTATCTTACTATTTTCAGATGGATGAGTCTAAACCGTAAAAATTACTTAAAATCACACCTTTCACAACATCAGTTTGTGAGAATTTTAAGGGCAGGTCTTCAAATCACATTGAAAAAGATACTGTCCTGCAGATGACTTAATTATTTGGAAATGACAAAGGTTCTTTTCTAATAGCTTATAATGGAGGATTTCAAATTTTGTGCAACAATATCCAAATTGTAAGATGGGAAAACTAATCTTATTTCTGAATTCAGAAAAAAAAGTTTGTGATAAAAATTTTCTATACTTAGATTTTTCTAGTAGCATCCATTCTCTGTAGCTAGTTTAGTTTTCTGAAGCATTTCATCACAACATTTTTTCCTACTTTATGCAGTAAATTAATATACTGAAAAAAGATACCCACCATAGAATGGAAATATTGAACGCATATCACGAATACTAGTAATCATTATTTATTATTGTTTGTTAAGGTACTATTGGTCACTGAGGTGGAAATGAGAGATATTTGTTCCTTTGGCTAGCTATTATTGGGCATAATTTGCGGTGATTACAATGACCTTTCAGTGATTGTAAAATATCTATTTGTGCCCATGATAGACCACAGACCGGGAGAGAAAGGCCTAGATTGACTTAGTAGAAATGAATTTACTTTCATACAGCACATGTCCTGGAGTACTTGCATGAGCATTGCAATACAAAATCGTACACCAAGATTTGAAGGCTGGAAACATCCATCTGGATGATGACTTTGAAGCTTTCTTCAGTGGGTACAAAACTAACACATTAGGACTCAAGTCTGGGGAACTACGGGACACATTGCCCCTGAATAACTGGAAAGCCTTCAGAGAAGACGGATGTATTCGGATATGGTATGACCCTTGTAGAACTTGTAACCAGTCAGTGTGCAATGGATTTCTGGTTGAAGAGGAGGATGTAATATTGCTAGATAAGGTGAGTTATTCCATTCTTTCTTGAAATTCAGACAGACTCGTACTGCAATATGGCTATAACTCAGGGTTTTATATTACTGATATAGTCTTCTATGCATTAATGAAATGGGTAAATGCCTTGATTAGTGGTGATGGAATATTTTGACTAGTGTAATTCATCTATTTATATAGCTTATTTGTCAAGGTTTTACACTATATTTCTTGTGTCGAAGTGTTATCAGTACTCGTGTAATAGCAAACTAATCTGTCTTTGGCAGACTTCATTTCCTTCGTAATTGGCTGGCAGGTCTTGTTTCTGGAGTTACCTGTCTCTACTTTCAATCCTGATTAGAAGTTTCTCGTAGTGTTTGGGTCTTTATCTTGCACCCAAACTCTTGCTGAGTTACTGCTTATATCTACTGTGGCTGCTACGATTTGTACAAAAAGAGAGTATACAAGAGGGAACCTCTGTGGGCAAGCACTGGGTTGCATTTCAAGGAAACCCTGATGTAGATGAACTTTCGTTTAACATCCCATCCAAAGCCAACTTTAATTTAAAAGAGCTTTATCCTGCCATCGATTGGGTTGTGATGCTAGACCAAACCATTTGGGAATTAAATTTGAATTTGGTTGGATGTTGAACCAAGTTCATCTGAATCGAGGCTGGAATGGATGTCCAATGCCTTATCGAAGAACTTGAGCCATCCTGTGATTTATTTTCAGTAGCACCACCAATATCACACCACCTCCTCCGCAATTGCCTAAGTTTTCGCTTGATTGGGCTTTCTCAAAAAGTGCAACTCGATTTTTTATTTTTGCTGTATGCCACCTTGTGTATATTTGATGCAGTAGTTTCTTCCTTTCAGCATTTAGTTCTCCAAAAGGATCACCTTACACAACCTTTGGGATTCGCATCATTCGTGGCTGTAGCTCTAGAGTGTATCAAGTACTACACCATTTAGTAGTTTATTTCTTTGCCAATTATGAGTTCTGGGATCATTTTGGTTTTATCTTCTACTTTTGAGGAATAAACATTTTTGCTAATCATTAATAACATTAATAATGACTTAACTAATCATTCTTTTAATTTTTACACTGTCAGTGTATACACACTATCATGGTTGGATGAATGACACATGAATAAATGAAATTCAAATTTTACATATGTTTCATATATCTAATGGTGATAGTATATACAAAATTAATCCTAAGATATATGCAAGTGTCGTCAATTATTTTATTTAATTTAAATATTACATATTTTTCACTATTTTTCTTGTTTGTTAATTTCTTTATAATAGTGATACGAAGAAGTTAAAACACAAATCAACAAGTCATTGGCCAAGGTCTAAGAATGTAGAATAAATAGCTAAAGCTAAAACATTTCGATATGAATTTTGAGTAATCGACCAGTGTCTTTATATCTTGATTTTTAGCTTAGTACCTATTATGCCTTGGAGACATTTTTCTTCATTATGTTCTCAAATCAAGCTTACTATTGTATGAATTTAATCCTAAAAAGAATTTTCTATTGGCTGGAATAGAAGAGTAACGAGGGGGGTTTTTTTTTTCTGGACTTATCACATTAGTTTGTGAAGCAAATGGATTGCCTTGATTATTGCAAAAAGGATAAACTCTGTTATACTAATTGTTCCTTTGAATGTGTTTTGCCTCATTATTTCTTTTTCTTTGTTTCAAAAAATCAACTTCAAACGAGATCCACTTCTTCAAAAGGAGTGAAAAGTTGCAAACTTGATCTCTTTTTTTTTTTTTTTAGGGATGTCCCGCAGGGAGTGGACCTTGCAGACTATTCCCCACCCTTCACAACTAGCTGGCAGCAAGGTTCGAATCAGGGATCTAAGACTCCATTTTCAGCAACCTCAACTGCAAACTTGATCTCAATATTCAAATAAATAAATAAATTAGAAGGGTGAATATGTTTAAAAAAAAAAGTTTCAGGCTTTCAAATCATGCAAGATTGAAACAAACAAGTGATTGAGTAATTTGTGTAACATTAGCACACAGACCAATCTCATAAATGCAAATCAAATTCATGTTGTGAAGGCTGTGAAGTAGAAATCATGGTGCATTACATCTGAATTAAGTGGATCTGTGCATTAATGTGAATTTGAAGCTAATGGAAATGTTTAGAGACAAAATTGGATGTTTTAAGAGTTTGAACTCCAAAAAACCACAAATGCAATTTAATTAAGAATTAATCTTTCTTATATTAACGCGGTAAAGGTTTTTTTTTTTTTAATCACTAGCTGGTTTTAATGTATGAAACATGGTTTTTATTTAAATTTGAAAATTTATTTTTACACATATGTATCATGTATCCACATCTACTAATATAAATGAACCTTTACGTACGCTCAAGATGTAGGAAACATTAATCAAAAAATTAATTAAACCTATTATATTACTTATCAATTAACCCATATAAAATCATTTATTCCGTTACAAATTAAGTTTGAATAGCTAATTCAGCAATCTTTTTGGAGCACTATATCACCCTTTAGTCTGTTTGGATGGTAAGTTATTTGGGATTATTTGGAATATTTTTACTGTAGTACTTTTTGTGATGTGATGTATGTGAGATAAAAAGATATTGGGAAGATAAAAAGGTGTATTGGAAATTGTAAAGATGATGTAAGCAAATAAAATTGGGGAAATATGAAGCAATCCAAACAAAGACGACTCATTGAGTTACAGTTCAATCATCCCGAATAGTCTTTGAGAGTTGACCATCTGAGAAGGGGGCAATTTGATCACCCACTTTGGGCCGAGAGTGGAACCAATAATGGGAAAACAGAATTTGACAAAAAGTCAAAAGGAAATCATATTTCAGCTAAGTAAACCACAATCTGAAGATTCAAGCTTATTATTAGGTCACCATCTACAATGGTAAAAAAAGAAAGAAAGAAAGAATAAGTCTTACTGGGCTCATCACAATGTGAATAATACACTTGTCCGAGTCTAGCAAGTTTCATACCTACCAATTTCTTTTTTCATATTCTTGTTCTTTTTTACTGGAGCAGGAGAGGGGTGGAATTTGTATTGCAGAATGTGAAGGTTTGATGTCAGCTCAGACTGAATAGAAACAATTTGTTAGGTATTAAAATGTTTGGAAATAGTTATGATAAATTTTATTCGAAAGAAACCAATTAAAATGATTAACACTAATTTCTTCATCACTCTTGGGAACAGATTCTTTGGCTCTATAATTATGTTTTCATTAAGTGTCTTGTGCTTAAGAATGATGGATTATTTCCAGTGGCTGTGGAAGAAATAAGCCGTGTACTGACCTATATATAACATTTGAGAGGTGATCTTTTGTTGATCTGCCAAATAGCTCTTCTGTGCATATTTTATTTGTTTGATTTTGATACTGTATGCTCTGATCAGGAATGGGGTCCTGTGTTACAAAGAGGATGATGATAGCATGTTTTTGGATGCTGTTACGGAGAATAAATCTTCTTGCTCATGTTAAAAATTTATGAGTTAAAAATAGAAAAGTCTCTTGTGGTTTTATATCGTACGCGCGTTAGTACCTCGTGATTTAAATTATTCTGAAAAAAAAAATCGTTAAAACAGACGAAACTGAATGAAAAGACGAAAATACCCTAATAATATAAGCGAAAATAGCGGAAGTAATTTAGCACTTTCAATCCGTAAACGTTCCCTTCTTTCCATCTCCCTCTCTCCAAACAGGGTAATATGTTCACCAAGCCGGCGAAGATGAGCTCGAATAGCCATGTCATTTGTAGGCACAGCCAGAGCAGCAGCACATCACTTCATCAGAAGTTCCTGCATGGCTTTCTCCTGCCGTTCTCTAACCAATCTGCTTTCTTCTGAAATCTCATATTCAGCAGATGCCCCAGTAGTACCACGACTGGGTCCTGCTTCATCCTCATTGGAATCAGATCTGCTACCCCTAGTCTCTTCATTTTGTGCCACCGATGGTCTTAATATAGGAGGACGAACAGGGATAGGTGCCAATGGTCGTGGAATCGAAGGAGCCACGACTGGGACTGAAGCAATACTAGGAATAACAGGAGGAGATGGAATTGTAGGTGGTACAGTAGCAGTGACTGGTTGAAGAAGTACGAAGTACAATTTTGTTTCCTGAAGTCCAATTTTGTGCAAAGGCTTTGTTTCTTGCAATTCCTTTCCTGGCTTGCAACCTCTGGTTGATTACTTACAATTTTGTTTCCTGCGAATGCTGGCTTCCAATTGCTTTGTTTCCTGCAATTTTGGTCGAAGACCCATAACATGGCCTTTTTATTGAAATGTGAAGGGTACAATAGGTATATCTAGTGAAAGTTTGTAATAAAAACTTATTTTTCGCAAGAAACACATGCCCTTTCTGGTGCATTTAATATAATCGCCTTACATTTGACGATTCCGTTGACTTTTCAGAATAATTCAAATCATGGGGTATCGAGTACCAACACGTATAATATGAAATTACATGGGGATTTTCTATATGATAGATATACCACATGGGACTTTTCTGTTTTTAACCCTTTTTATTTTTGTGCCTTGTGGCGTAGATTCCAACAAGGCAATGTAGAAATATTTGTAGAATGAACTTCATTTATGCTTTCTGAGTTGGTGTTATACCAAATTTAGCTTAAGCTTAGCTCAGAAACTATTATTCTTCTATACTGCCTTCACATGCATGGATTTAAGATGCCATTTTGTACTAGTCTAAAAATCAACATAGCAAATTTGAGAGATGAAAATTTTCAAAAAAAAAAAACAAATAAATAAATAGACAAACTATGGAAATGAAACCAGATTACTCCCACTTCTCAATATGAATGTCGAAATCTAGCAAAATTAGTGCTATTCCTTACTTTTTTCTGGATCTAAGCCATCATGCAGTCATTTTGAGGATGTAAGATATAGTAAGAGGATCAAATCAAGTTGATTCACTTTCATAGAGTAGTGATTTCAATTAAGTAATGTTTAATCTCTTCGTTTTTTTTTTTGGCTTTGAGCACCCGGAATCCCCACCCTCAACGAGACTAATCCAAATTCGGTCCGAGGAGCACCCGTAGTGTCTGACTCTTATTCTGGGTTGAACGCTTGACCAGAGCTTTTCAAGGCTCTACAAGTCGAACTTGCAACCTCCCGTTGATATTAGCAACCCGCTTACTAGCAGTAAATTTGGTTCAATTGGTAAGAATGTGTCACTTCCTCACAAAAAGTT